CCATTACAGGTACAATGTGTTTATCTCTCAACTCCACTGGTCCACTACTATGGTGACTCAGTAATCCTCTTGCGCTGCTTCAACTGCTCCTCCCACCCCTGGGGAACTTCTCCATAGTAGGCCTCTGTTCTGCCTTTTACCTTCCCTGGGAGTATCTCATTGCTTCTTTGCTACTCTAACCACATCCCTGTCTGTTCCACACTCAAACTTCCCGGGAGAGGCTCTCACTCGATCAGTTAGTCAAATCCAGTCTGGAATGCAGATCTACTCTGCCAGGTCACCATACAGACCCCAGGCAGCTTTTGGGCCAGGATGGCTGGGTGACATGGGACCTAAATGTAAGGAACCCTTTCAGTCGCCTGCTCAAAAGAGGGTTGTGGTAGAGCAGGCACTCAATGACATGTGCAGTAGGGCGGTGTCGCGTATTTTCACCTATGCTGTGAACTCAGGAATGAAATGGGAGCCCAATAACACATTGCTGAAAACAGCTGTATGTTATTTTTGGATCTAGGAAAAAATATTTAGCAAGGTTTAAGTAAGCCTAATACAACTCACATTACCTGTATCACAAAAATGCACACAAATTCAGTTCTCCAAGAGTTCCTACCAGAACGAGAACTTCATGAAAAGGAAATACAATGTAGAAAAAAAAAAAAAAAACTAACCCAAACTATTAAGAACTGTTAACGTTGAAACCATAGATTCATACAGCTGGTATGCGGTGAGCCAGGATTTTCTGGAACTAGCACTCAACTACTATGTTTAGACGTGAAGGTCACTGGAATAGTGAATAATTTCTTTTGGGAAGGATTTCCCCGATCTTAAGCCTGTGTTATGATATTTATGTTTACACGCATGGGCTCCTTATTATTTTAAATGAATTAGTATTTGTTAACGGCCGTTTTAATTTTTGTGCAGAAATATTGGTGAGTATAATCCACAAACAAATGTTTTTTGGGATCTTCAATGTTTCAATGTAAGAGTCGAACTCCAGCCAGAGGAAGGTATGAGACCGATAAAAGAGAAGGCTGGCATTAGGAAAAGAAAGTGGGCCCTTCTACCCCTTGTTCGTTCATTCATTCGCCCATTCTGCATTAGACACCAGATCCGGTGCCAGAAGCTTAGGCTACCAAGATGAACTAGATCCGGTGTCTATCCCAAGGAGTTGTAAAGAAACGAGTAAAATGCGGTTCCTGCGAGTGGGAGGGGCCTTTGGGCGAACGAGGCACGTCGTTTTCTCGAAGCCTGAGAAATTTGTCCTGCTGCCCCACCCACTCCCCCAAGATGGCGCCCACCGCGACACCGGCCTGGCCACCTCCGCGAGGGAATATTCCCACGCCTTCCTCCGATTTCCCTCCCGGGCCGGCCCGGGCCGACTCGCCGGGACCCCGCGGAGCTCAAGGCCCTGAGACGCCGCGGGATCCCCACGGCCCTCGCCCCAACCCAAGGCGGGCCCCGGTGGGCGTCGATGCGCGGCACCCGCGCGCCCCCTAGACGCCCCCTCGGCGCCCCGCCCCCCCGTGCCTCACGCCGCTTGCCGGCGTCGGCGCCTTTTGACGCCATCGTGGGCGTGTCGGCGCGAGCCGCGACGTCGCGACGCGCCGACAATGGCGGCTGCGTCGGCCTGAGCGGGTCTTCGTTTGCAAGTAATTTCCTGACGTTGCGGGGGGAACCGCACTCGTCTCAGACCCGGTAGGCGGCGGCGGCGGCGCGCCTGTGCGCTCCCGCCGCGCCCTGGACCGAGCGGCGGTGCAGAAGCTCGGCGGAGCGAATCAGGTGGGCGGCGGCGCGGCCGAGCTCACAGCACCAGCGCGCGCGCACGGAGGGCGGGCCGAGCGGTGGGCGGTGCGGCAACAGAGCAGCACGGACTTCCCGGGGACTGCTGGGGCGCCGCGGGGAGGCGGGTCGGGGGGCGGTGGGGCGCGAGCGGAGCGCGACCGACCTCCCTTTCTCTGCGGAGCTCCAGCGTCATTTCGGCCTCTTAGTTCTCCTGAATCCTGCTCCTGAGCTAGGTAGGAAACATGAGCCGCAACCACTTGGATGGGAACGACGAGTTTGATGAGCAGTTGCGAATGCAGGAATTGTACGGAGACTGCGAGGACGGTGACCCCCAGACCGATGCCGGTGGAGAAACCGATTCTCTCGGGCAGCAGCCGACGGACACCCCCTACGAGTGGGACCTGGACAAGAAGGCTTGGTTCCCCAAGGTAGGAGAGTGCCACGGGCGCCACTGCAGAGCGGGCCGCCTGGCCAGTCTCGCGGGGCACTCCTTTTACGTTTGCATTGCTGAGGTCCATGGTCCTTGGTCCTAACCCCCTTGGATAGCGACGCTTCTTTTTGTTGTGTTTGTTGGGGCACCGATGTGTAAAGGAAGAAAAATCTTTAGGGTGGTGTCTTAAATGTAATTCTGAAGTCTTTTCTATGCTTTATTAATTTTGTCTGTGAAGGTCACAATTGGTTATTACATTGATGACTGCCTTTTATTGCAAAGAGGAGAAACACCAAGAGCAAATTAGTAGCTGTCCATTTCTGGTAGCCAGCCCCACTTGTCCTAGGAAGTCGGATGTTTAGCTTATGTACTATGTGCAAAATGCAGTTTCTTGATAAAAGTAGCTGTTTATGTATCTTTAGTAATTGAACTTTGTTTGCGCCTTGCTTTACTTTCCTAGTAAATTGTGTCCCTAGGCATATATGTTTGAACCATATAACTACAAGAATGAGACTGGAGATACACAGAATATAGATAGAAAAGATCTGTGGATGTTTGTTTGACGTACTTGGAAATTGCTAAGTATTTTTATTTCACTCTCGAAGTAAAATAACTAATGTTAAACTTGGTTCTGTAAACTTTGTGGTAAAAGTGTCCTTTTAATCTGACTCTCATGAGCGGGAAAGGGCACACTAATAGCACACAAATTGACTTGCAAGCCAGTGATACAAAACCTGTCTCACGAGATTGCACTGCTATTTTAAAAATTTTTTGCAACTTTTCGTTCCCATTCTGTATTTGTATATGTATTCCAATCCCTCCAGATTGTTAAAATTTACGATTTCACTTCTGTATTGGTAGTGCCAGTTTGATTGTAGATTTGGTGTTTTCAGCATTCTGAATGCTTTTAACAAAGGTCTGGTAATGGATTAATGTGTGACTTTATCTTTTTATGTTATTGAAGCCCATATCTTTTTATGTTATTGAAGCCCATACCTCTTCAAACTTTGAGTTTTACGTTTCCCCATTCTATGCGTGCCTAATATTGATTGATATGATGCTATAACTATATTTCTTTAGTTGTGCAATAATGCTTTTCCCCAAAAGGGAGGACGATAGATAGAAGTTGAGTTTGTCTTTAATTTGTTCTGATACTAAAAGTTAACATGATTTAATTTGTGATAGAGTTAAAATGAGCATTTAGTTTTACAATTGTTAACCAACCCCATTCTTAATGTACCGTATCAGAGTTCTGTGTGCACTCTGCATGCAGATTTGTGCTTTCTGCATACAAATATACATGTACAATAAGTAATTGACTTATTGTACATGTATATACTTATTGTACATGTATATTTGTGCATCTGTACGGTAAAAGTGGATTCTGTGGTTAGATTATTGATTGACTGTTGGTTCTTATTGTTTTGTTATCTGGTACTTCCCTTTGTTATATGTATTTGTAGCTTTAGTCAATAGACTGTAGAGAGGTAGTAATTTATAAATGAAACACCTAGAGAAGGTGGCAGCATCACTTAAAATGCTTTAAATCGTACCTCAGACTTTTGCATTGACCATCTAAGTATTTGTGTCTTATTTTTTATCACCATATACACACTTTTCTATATGAGGTAACTATTCTTGGGCCTACGCCTTAATGACTACAACTGTTATCCACAGAAACAGTTCTGTGTTAAGTTGTATAACTATGCTGTAAAAACACAATTTAAACTTCTTATAGATGGAAATAATTTAAAATTTCTATGTCTCTGTCTTTCGAATTGCTTGTTTAGATCACTGAAGATTTCATTGCTACATATCAGGCCAATTATGGCTTCTCTAATGATGGCGCATCTAGTTCTACTGCAAATGTTCAAGATGTCCATGCTAGGACTGCAGAGGAACTTCCACAAGAAAAAGCCCCAGAACCCGCTGATCCCAGAAAGAAGGGAGAAAAAAGAAAGGCTGAGTCAGGTAACTGGGTCTAGCTCACAGATTTTAAGTGCAAAAATTAAAAATATGGGTGTGTATATGTACAGTTACTTTTTTGAGAATTATAATAGCCTTGAAAGCATAAGGTGAGTGTTTTCTTTAAGGTAGTGTCAGAGTTATAAAGAATGAAGTTAAACTGGCCATCTTTTTTCCAGATAGGGTCAAAAACTAATTATTTGTCAAAAGATTTAAATATTTTGAAAGCCGGGTAGTGCTTTGAGTTAGTTTATCTTGGTCTTTTAAGACTAAGAGAAACGTCCTTGAAGTTTCAAGAAACTGCTGCTTTGTCAAGATTCCATAATATGACTCTTAACTTTCTTGCAAGTGTTTTATTTATTTAATTAATTTTGATTTCTAGGATGGTTTCATGTTGAAGAAGACAGAAATACAAATGTATACGTGTCTGGTATGTATAAATTTTTAAATAAGTTTAAGGTAGGAAATAATTTTGAGATTTTTCACGAAGTGATTTTTAGCTTTCAGTTTTCCATTTTTTATCATTGTGTCATTTTTTTGTTGAGCCATTTATATTAGTAAGGAATATGTGTGTTTATTACAGAACCAAGAAATTTAGTGTGTAACTTTACATGCCAACCTTTAGACCCAGTTAATGTAACTAACAGCAGTGTGTCCCTTCACATTCAGTGAGGCCTTCAACAAAGCATAATTTTAATGTGTACTTGAACACACAAAAATGTGAAATTTCTTCAGTTCTATAAATGTAAAACTTTTCCATACATTTAGAAAATCAACATTGCATTCACCTAAGTTACAGATTTCTAATTGGTAGAATGCTAAGTAATTCACCTTTATTACCGAATATAAATGTTTTTTAATTAAATGACAGGTTTGCCTCCAGATATTACAGTGGATGAATTTATACAACTTATGTCCAAGTTTGGCATTATTATGAGAGATCCTCAGACAGAGGAATTTAAGGTCAAACTTTACAAAGATAATCAAGGAAATCTTAAAGGAGACGGTCTTTGCTGTTACTTGAAGGTAAGTTATATGATCAAATAAGTTTCTGTGTCTTCGTTTTTAACTCAGGAACCAGGGCTATAATTTCTATAGGTAATAACCAACACCAAGAACTATTCAAAACAGGATATGAAGAAAACCGAAATTTCAGTTAGTACCTGTGTGTATCACACTTGTTTTAAGAAAATATGTTACCTGGTTAAAGTAGTATATAAGTATGTGACTGGAGTGCTTCTTTTGTCTTGAAAAATTCTCACTGGAAAGATGTCTTTATTGATGTGTACAGTCAATTCAGAATACATTTTAAAAATTCAAGAAGAAAAAAAAGACAATGACATTTTACTTGTATACTGGAGTGAATTACACCAGGGTTCAGCAAACTCCAGCCCTGTTTTGGTAAATACAGCTTTATAGAACACAGCCACACTAATTCACGTATGCATTTGTCTATGATTGCTTTTAGGTTTCATTGATAGAGCTGAGTGGTTGCAGCACAGACCTTGTGGCCTACAAACCCTAAAATATTTATGAACTGGCCCTTTAACAAAAGGAGTTTTCTGACCCTTGAATTAGACCATAAGGAGATGATAGCTTATGCTTACTGCTTTAAAATATTTTTTTGAATGCGAGAAAAGAGAGAGTGGTAATAAGAGAAATTTGCAGAACTGCATGTAGTCATAGTACCATAAATTACACAAAGAAACCTCAATGCCAAAGGCAGCCATCGTTTTTGGAACACCTGCCACCTTAGGGGCATGTGTTATTATCGCAGGGTACAGAACAAATGAAGATGGCATGTACGTAAGTCAAAACCTGAAAATAATTACAGAGTAAAATCAAAATGGTGAAGCCGAAGTGCAAACACCGTGGGTGCGTTGTGAGTACACGGTATTCCAGTGGGATCAGAAGAGGGTAGGATTCAGCTGGCAGCTTTTTGGGAAATAGGTTTTTGACCTGAATCTTAAATGTGGTGGTTACGGGACGTGAGCATGACCATTTTAGGATGATAGTTTTGTAATGTTCAGATGTAAGGAGATTTGAGAGTCTTACACGTTCTTTAAGGATTATAAAAAAATCTGTGAACAGACTCTTAGGGAGTTCTGTTACATGTTTAAAATTTTTAAAGGAAAAAAATAGGATTTTGAGACCCATAGAAATACAAGATTGTCAAAACAGTAAATTGAGTTCCAGGAAAATGAAGTGAATTATTCCAGGACCCATATTTTATGTGAGCAGCTGAGTTCAGTTATCCATTTTTTTTTTTCTACAGGTCCTCTGATCTTTGACTCTGTGTAGGGCTGATAACTGTCCCCTCTGTGTAAGACCCAAAATCCATACATGTATTTAATATAAAGTGCCAGCCATCAGATAATTGTCTTCTACTTCTCAGTGTATTACAGACTTACATTTTAGTTGATGAACAAAAGAATTAAAGGCTGTCTATGCTGTTCCCAGTTCGTTGAGTCATCTCGTCTTTTAAGTAAGAGTATTATAGGATTTTAAAACAAATACACCTTAGAAATTATGCAAGTTTGCTCCCCTTTTTCTACAGATGAGAAATTGTAGCCTTGAGACAAGATTATACAATAATTATATAATTTATTGAACACCTGTCATATGCTAGGCCTTGTCTTTTCCATGCATTATTTCATTTAATTTAGGTCAAGAACTTTGTGATGAAGATATTACTATTTCCATTTTACAGATGATGGTATTAGGGCTCAGGAAGCTTGTATAATTTACCCAAATTCACACAGCCGGTTAGGGACTGCTGTGTCTCGAATCCTGGTTTGGATTCTAGAGTTCTTTATCTCAAAGCGATAAAATGATCTCATATATTAGTAATATATAAATATAAAATTTTAAATTATTTTGTGTATAATCATAGTTTATCTGAAAAACTCCTTAAGTTTTATTTTGTTGTATAAGTGACTATATTTTATCTTTTATAAAGAGAGAATCTGTGGAACTTGCATTAAAACTTTTGGATGAAGATGAAATTAGAGGCTACAAATTACATGTTGAGGTGGCAAAGTTTCAACTGAAGGGAGAATATGATGCCTCAAAGAAGAAGAAGAAATGCAAAGACTATAAGAAGAAACTGTCTATGCAACAAAAGTTTGTAATTTTTTTCCCTTTTGAAACAGGTTTCTTATATTCTAGAGTATATTTTTGGTAATAGCCATCTAGTTTTATTCTGTCAAATCTGCCTACACATTATTTTAAAACAATTTCTTTAGATCATCAGGTACCTTTAGCAATCTATACAATAGGATGATTTAGCAGTGGAGGGGATTTAAATTTTCCAAGATGTTTAGTTGTAATATGATAAGGGCTTAAATGAGCTAAGAGAAGCCATCTGTTTGGAAAACATTGAACATCAAATTAAATAATATAGTTTAGGCTTATGTACCAGAACCATTAGATTACTTTCTGTGTGGGTTGAAATCAGCTGTACCAGGAGCTAAATTTTTATATACAGGTTTGTTATGGGATTAGAAATGATAGGATTTTATAATTGTATTTACTGTGTAGTCGTATGTACTATATGCATAATGCCATCAAGTTTCTATTATTCTGTTTAATATACTTTGAAATATTCTAGTTTTAAGAAATTAGCCAAACTAATATTTTCATCAGAGTAAACTCTAATGACACTTCTAACACCACTACTTAAATTAATTAGAAATGATCATAAAAGCATTGGGTTGTTATGTCTCATCGTTTTTACAAGATTAGGTAAATTTGATAACCACATATTTTTTAAACAATATCAGTAAAATTTATGATTGTAATGGAGTGAGTAGTTTTACATGTTTCAGTGCAGTTTGTTTTTTATAATGATAAAGTACCTAAAAACCAGTATAATTTAAAAATAGTTTTTAGCCTCAAAATATATCTTTCTGGACTTATAAATACTAAGAATTAGAGATTTTTCAAAGGTCTCATTGGAATGTTTGTATAACCAGACAACAGTTGCCCTGAAGAACATTTATTCTGGGGATTTCAGATACTGGGGCCGTTTTGCCCCTGCCTTTTATTTTATTTTATTGTTTATTTATATGAGACAAGAGTCTTGTTCTGTTGCCCAGGCTGGAGTGCAGTGGTGCAATCTTGGCTCACTACAACCTACACCTCACGGGTTTAAGCGATTCTCATGCCTCCACCTCCCTAGTAGCAGGGATTACAGACGTGAAGCACCACGCCCAGCTAATTTTTGTATTTTTAGTAGAGATGGGGTTTCACCATGTTTTCCAGGCTGGTCTCGAACTCCTGACCTGAAGTGATCTGCCCGCCTCCACCTACCAAAGTGCTGGGATTATAGGTGTGAGCTACTGCACCCGACCCCCTGCCCATTTTTATTTTAGAAAGTTACCTGACTAGAACTGTGACTGAAATAGTTTGTTGTTATAAAATCCAGTAATTATCATTATTAAATACTCAACAGAGTATTGTATGAACAACTCATTTTTTTCTCTCTCCAAGTCTGAAGCAAAATTTACAGTTTGTTGTTACTGCTTCATTGCCTCAGGCAGCTGGATTGGAGACCTGAGAGGAGAGCTGGACCATCCCGGATGCGCCATGAACGAGTTGTCATCATCAAGAATATGTTTCATCCTATGGATTTTGAGGTAGGAAGTGGTGTGCCCACTGACAGAAATGCTGATAGGCTTTCTTTCAAGGGAGACTGGAGCTTGCCTCACCCCATCTTTGTCATGTCACCTCCTGCGTGTTTGTGCAGTGAGTAGTGAAGGAAGATGGAGCCAAGAAGCTACTTCAGTTTTGTTGTTTTTTTTTTTAATTTCTCTTCCCTTTGTTTAGCCCAGTATTGTTTTAAAGTATATCCCAGATAAGAGTGTTTAATAACCATACTGCACCCCAGCTGCTTGGTATGGGAAATCATTGAAAAATACCATCATTAAAAGATTTATGGGAACTGCTTGTGAATTTTGAGTGCAGTCAACAAGTGTGGGCTGATTTTGGTGGGGAGTACCAGCTTCACAATTGTAAATGCAAACTTCAGTTTAATATTAAAAGTTATAATGCTTAATGTCCCTGGAAAGTTCCAATAACAGCAAGTAAAAGTGAATGATTAAAATAGTATTTTAATCATTTTTTTAAATGATTAAAAAAAATAAAGTGAATGGAACTGTCCTTCCTCCCCTCAAAAAACTGAATAAAGGAAGAACAAAGAACTACTTAAGGAGTTCTAAGGAATATTGTCATCAAAGTACCTTTATTTCAGAAAGTTCTCTGACTGGAACTGTGACTGAAATACAGTTTGTTGTAAAATTCAATAATTATCATTAATAAATAACAAAGTATTGTATGAATAACTTTTTTTTCTCTCTCCAACAAGTCTGAAGCAAAATTTACAGTTTGTTGTTACATTCTGCCTCTGTTCTCATCTCTGTCTACTGGTGTAGAGCGACTTTATTGTATAGTGGAGAAACAAGTATTCTCTCCCTGGTTCTGAAAGTAGTGATAGCAAGTTACACAGAAAGCAGTTTAGGCTGGGCGCAGTGGCTCATGCCTTTAATCCCAGCTACTTGGGAGG